TTTTTTTATTGTGTTCTGTACAGTACAGTTAGCTCACAGTAAAGTACAGTACAGTTAGCTCATTGTGCAGCTTTGCGTTAAATTCATATAGATAAACATTTTATACCTGACATGTTCATGTTTTTATGATATTAGGTAATTTCTCAACCAAATAAGTGATTGTTATGGATTCAGTAAACAATGACTAATGTAAAAACTCGTGATATGATACCAGCTGGGCGTAGCCTAGTGGTTAACATGTTGGAGTATGGATTGAAGAGTACGAGATTTGGTGCCATTGAATGTAATTTGCATTTTAACCTGAGAACGCATTATAAAAGTGAAGGTCAGTCATATTACCCTGTTCAAAACACTCGTGGCTATATATTATTTTCCAACAGAAAATATATATAACATAAAAAGTTGACGATTTAATTATAATATATTTATTTACATTCACTTTCAACCTGGTTTAAAGAAGTTGGGGACATTATATTTCTATGGTAAACTAGTCTTAACGAGAAACTGAAAGCAAGTAAAATTCGTAGTTTTTAGGCATTCCATGAGCAATTGTAAATAAACAAATAGACTAACAAAGTATTCAAATAATCATACTTTCATGTAATAAATATTGTTTTAATTAGAACGATATCTAAGAGCTACCATGAAACGACATTTAACTTCGATGCATTAGAGCTACCATGCAACGACATTTAACGTCGATGCGTTAGTTTTATTTAAAATGTTAACTATTTTATTGACGAGTCAAAATACGTGCTTTACATTTGTTTATGCATGCCATAAGAATATAAACAATAGGTCACAAATATAGAATACTGATACGTGTTTTAAATATTTAGTGGAACCTTCAAGCTGTTGATTTGGTTTAGCCATATATCTATCATAGTAGAACGTCTACATAAATGCATGAAATAAGAAAATACAAAATACATCATAAATATAGATCACACAAACGCCTGACAGTTCTTTACCATAATACAGCTAGATAAAGAAAATTACTGGATAAACCGTCTTGCTTAAGGGGGTTGTTAAAACATTACTTAGATGCTTAAGAGACATACAATGACAAATATACTATAGTATTCTGGACTTAGTATGTTCTTTTTTTTCATTCATAGGTCCTGGAGAACAAGACATAGTAAACAAGTAAGTAATGTGCTTATTAATCGTATATAAATACATTCAAAACATATTTCTTAAATCCTATTTCACTTATTGTATACTATTTGATTGATTTCACAGCAACAGTTAAAGGTTGGATGCGCAAATGTGTAGTTATTGAACCTTTCAAACTTAAGACGTTATTGTTTAACATGTATAATTAATTATGAATGATCATTTTGGATCTGTGGTAGTGATTTAGTCTCTTAACGTTTTTCTACATGAGAACAGCTACCTCATGGTTTTACTTCAAGTGGAATATGAGCTTTATGTTTCGTTAGGAGACTTGTCCCGAGGAATACTTTTCCTTTGCCTGTAAGATTACCACCAGTTTCATTGATAGAACCTCTCCAGTAATGATGACTAGATAGCCTGTATGGTATAGAACATCACCAGTAATTATAATTAGATAGCCTGTATGGTATAGAACATCACCAGTAATGATAATTAGATAGCCTGTATGGTATAGAACCTCACCAGTAATGATAATTAGATAGCCTGTGTGGTATGGAACCTCACCAGTAATGATAACTAGATAGCCTGTGTGGTACAGAACCTCACCAGTAATGATCACTAGATAGTCTGTGTACTATAGAACCTCACCAGTAAGGATAACAAGATAGCCTGTGTGGTATAGAACCTCACTAGTAATGATAATTATATAGCCTGTGTGGTATAGAACCTCACCAGTAATGATAATTATATAGCCTGTGTGGTATAGAACCTCACCAGTAATGATAATTAGATAGCCTGTATGGTATAGAACATCACCAGTAATGATAACTCGATAGCCTGTGTCGTATAGAACGTCACCAGTAATGATAAATTCCTGTTGGATTCTGAATATCACGTCACTGTATGCTCTAAGTTGAGCAGCATGAAGAATGTTCTCTTGTGCACTAAATGTGTGGACCTTCCAAATCTTTTCTTCGTTCTTGTTAGATTTGTTTGTAATGTGCAGTATATGTGGTTTAGTTAGTACGAGGTGCATCTGATTGTACGTCTCTAATACCCTTAGCGTCCATTGAGTGACAACTTTGTTTTTGCTCATCTTGTGCTGTAGATGTTTCTGCAAAGCTAAGGTTATGTTTTCTACTATAGGCTTTGTAACAAATATGTTATACACTACCAATTTATTGTGTAACACTGAAAGATCTGTCACATGAACTTAGTATGGACTTTGTAACAAGACATATGATACAATAACGATTTATTGTGTAGCGCTGAAAGTTCTGTTACACGAACAAGGGTAAGTTTTGTAACAAGATCTGTGACACTCTACCGATTTACTGTGTATCTCTAAAAGGTCTGTCACATCATGTATAGTGCGAATAAAGATACTGTTCTGACGTTTCTGGATAGCACTTTCTAAACCTCTATTCTGTGCATTTGATAGTTTTTCACTCTTGTGCTTTTGGCATAAGATCCACTGAGCCCACTTTGTTGTCAGTTTTAGCTTTTTTTCGAGTCAGCAGTTTAAGTGGGCTTCAGCTCAAGCTATTGTTAATGTGTAATCTGAAGCTATTACTTTATCGGTATCTAATTACTGATATTGAAGTTCATCTTGTAAGCAGAACCAGAAAATAATGCAAAACATTTTTCGGATAAAACTGGAATATAAGTTAAGATATTTGTTGGAACAAACACTGACATGTACTCCTTAATCAACCTGTAGGTGAAGAAAAAAATGAAAAATTAGAAGTACTCATCAATATAATTAAAAAAAAGAATTAGAAAAAAATGCAAAACATTTTTCGGATAAAACTGGAATATAAGTTAAAATATTTGTTGGAACAAACACTGACATGTACTCCTTAATCAACCTGTAGGTGAAGAAAAAAATGAAAAATTAGAAGTACTCATCAATATAATTAAAAAAGGAATCAGAAAAAAATGTTAATGGTTACGTGATATACTAAACCTAAAGTTACAATATGTTTCTGTCTGTTGCTTCATTTTCATTTTGTTAAAATAATATAATATAAAAAGTTTCAATAATATCAAACCATTATTGAAAGAAGTTATATATGAAAATCGAGGTACATATATAATATGATGCCAAGAATTAAGTTCATGCTTTAAAAAACTTATTATTAAGACTAGACCAAACACTTAAAGAGATATAAGCGATTATTTCCATTTCACCTTTTTCACAGAAACAAGCCCAGCAATATCTAATATTCACATATGTGTTGAGATATCAAGGAATTCGATATTTCTTATAAATACCTGAAATATGTTACAGTTACCATAGAAACTGCCATTTTAACAAGTCACCACTTCACTTGCCAAGAGTATAACAGGCTTAAATTGTTCATTAAGGTCACAGGTATTAAAATATACACACTGTATATATAAACACATTTCTATGGAGTTGGACCAAAGTCGATCAATTCTGTTCAGCTTGCCACTCTTTATTGTGAGCATGTTGATATGTTTTGCATTAATATTTGGTAAAAGTATAATCTTAACATACTGGTTGGTAAAGATGTACACAATCAGTGTGAATATTTTACCATATTTTGCTGGACGAGAAAGATCTGCTAGTTTAACAGGTTTTCTGAGAGAAGGCTCATCTGCTATTACAACAGACTTTGACTTCGCTTTGAAGCAGGTAGGGTGTATCTCGTAAAGCGTCACTGTCTGGTCGCTTTGAAGCAGGTAGGGTGTATCTCGTAAAGCGTCACTGTCTGGAAGTGACTGAAAAAAAAAGCAGTTGTTTCTCTTTAAAGTGTAGAAACTTGTTATTACATTCTTCCCTATGTTTTATTTTTAATTTTGTCTTTGATTAAGAATCTCCTCTTTATGCAAACAAAGGAGCAAATAATATTTGATAAACTTATTTATAACTTTGCAATTCTCTTAAATGAAACTGGACAATGCTTTCTAAAAACTCACTACGAAAAGAAACTTAATTGTAGATTTTGTTCGAGTATTTTTATCTCTAGCCATTTCATTTCATCTGCAGTATTAAATAACCCCATATATTTTTTTCCTGTCCTTTCTCAGCAGAATTATAGCTTAGATTCTCACTGCACAGCTAACTTGAACTTTTTATTACATAAACTACAGACAGTCTGTCTAATACCATGAGTAGATGTTTGTAGAAAAACGTCGTCTTATGGAATATGCGTCTTTTGTGTTTTCAGTTCCACTATCACTGGGGGCTGTTATTGGAGTCCTTTTTGATACAGTTTCTAAAATCAACACATTAGTATTATCCCCGAGTAATAACATTTGATCATTTCCAAGTTGAACAGTCAGGAACAAACATGGCTATTGCTTCATATTTTGCGTCGTTATTGGTGAAGACGGACGTTTCTCTTGGATGACTGCTAGATGAAATCGTAGCGATCAAAGCTCAAAAACATTTCATTCTAAGGCCAGATTTGATTCCAGACGTTTTGTTAGCGCCAGTGCAACGCCTGTTAAAGTATATAGCATTTTATTCTTCCTTTATACTTAGATCTTTTACAGTATACCCTAAAACGTAATTGCTGATTAAATAATTTTAAGCCAACGCTAAAAACCAAGGAAATGTATATATTTTTTTCATGTTACAGTTCGAACAGAATAGAATTTTGGTAATAAAATCCAGAATTTCCCTGCCTCATTGTCTTCAAATGACAATTATGAATGCTGTTTTTAACAAACCCACAAATATACATTGAGGTTTGTTTCGTGTGATCTATTAGCAAAAATATATAACTTAGAAACTGCTTGAGGTCAGGTAGATTAATAGTTATTAGAAAATCATAGCTAAGTATCTACATTCACGTGTTCGACCTTGACTTGGTCAGAAAATTTTGTGCTTAAGAAACAAAACGATTTTGTTATTAGTCTGGAATTTAGTTGTAATTGAAGAGAATTGTCAGAATAGAGACTTTGATGGCCAGCATTTCTTATTAATTGTCAGAATAGAGACTTTGATGGCCAGCATTACTTATTAATTGTCAGAATAGAGACTTTGATGGCCAGCATTACTTATTAATTGTCAGAATAGAGACTTTGATGGCCAGCATTACTTATTAATTGTCAGAATAGAGACTTTGATGGCCAGCATTACTTATTAATTGTCAGAATAGAGACTTTGATGGCCAGCATTACTTATTAATTGTCAGAATAGAGACTTTGATGGCCAGCATTACTTACTAATTGATATAAAGACGGTTTTGGTAGACTTATCAGTACGTTTTCGTTTTTGTGTAAATGCTTTTGTCTAGAAAAATTGGAGTTGTATGTATACGTTGCTTCTTATCACCATACACAACTTTTAAATTAACATTATGTTTCCTGACTGCAAGGTTATATTGCATCAATATTGTTAAAGTAAGAGACGTAGCTTGAAACAATAGATGCTGCTTTAAGACAGGCTTCATGTTCCGACAACCAAGCAAGTTGATCTATTTTACTTGCCTCCTGTTAGGAGCTAATAAATTTCTTATAATAGACGTACGATGCCATATGGCAATCAATCTACGATAGTCCTTTAACTTACAATTATATTTACTTTATTCTAAAACCAATCTTCCCTATTGGTTCCAATTCTGTACGATCTTATTTTCACATCAACACGTTTATAGATTAGAAAATAAACAATATGGTTTTAAAATATCTATCTGTGTACATATCATATTACGTTCGTGGTTATTAAATGTAAATTTACTTTATTCGTTTATACAGAACATTATGGTTTAGAGTCCTACAATATTCAAGTATGATACATTTATATATATAGTATAAATATATATAAAACTAAAATTTTCAGAGTTCTTTTCACATAAGCTGAAAAGTTATTTTTGATTTGTTCTCATTTTGTCTTTTCTTTATTATAGACTCTCAGTTCTTGTATGAGTGGGCAAACTAGTGGATATACTGGGTGTTTGAAATATCGAAAGACATAGTGTGCGGAAATGTTTAATGTATACCATAGTATAAAACATACTCATAAAAGTTTATGTCTATCGATTGAAAAGGAGAACTAGCATAATAACACACAAACATAATAAATGCTGGCTTTCATCCATTGCATGGTTCTTTGATATTTTATAAAACAACTGTCATATCTGATGTTTAGGCCAAACTTTGTTATACGTTTTGTAATTGTGAACGACATCTAAAATACTATGAGTCTTTTTAAGAAAGCCACATTTCTCGATATTTAATTAGTGAGGAACATGAATGGATTACTGGGATTACATCCCCGTCACACCAAACATGCCCGACCTTTCAGCCGTGGGGGCGTTATAATATGACAGTCAATCCCACTATTCGTTGGTAAAAGAGTAGTCCAAGAGTTGGCGGTGGGTGGTGATGACTAGCTGCCTTCCCTCTA